TCCGGGAATGATATCCAATGGGAGGTTTGGTAACAAAATCTTCTGATCTCAGTTTTCTTCGTATGCAAATCTCTGTGATGAACGATGGAAGTTTGACATTGTCAATTCCGGAATAAATACCTTGTCAGTTTGATCTGAGCACACCATTGCAACTGGATAATGAAGAAGTGGTGCGGAGAAGAGCGACAACAAAGCTGTTCATCATCGAGGTTTATTGACACAGATTGGGGGGNGGTGATGGTGGTGTGTGTGTGGGGGGGGGGGACCGAATTGCAGATCTTAAGGCGTTTTGAAATCGACTACCCTCGTAACTAAGTTACAAGACTAGATCACCGGGACAGTTGTCACCGTTGGAACTACGGTTAGATCATAGCTAGATGAAAATCATGATCATAAAGCATATTCCCGGCAAACAAATCTTGATCAAAGTTAGAATTTTTGTTCACTGTTGTACCAACCGTACCCACACAGATTTCCCTCGTATAAACCATGGCTTCTCTGAAATTCAGAAAATCTGATATTCTACTAGTCAACTGGTCTATTTGTTATCTGAGATTTTTCGCTTCGATCCTTGGAACAGTGGTCGCTTTGTTTGTATTCCTTCTCTCTCCTCTTTGTGTGTCCTCATCATTTCGTAAATATGCACAACTTGGATCCCAACTAAACCCCCCATCTCGGTTATTGTTACTGACTGGAAATTAGTTCATTGTTCTCAGTCGATTTGCACCCCACCCTCGGGTCGGTTTCAGCTGGCAATTTTGCTTCATCTGACTCAGCCCCGCAGTCTTGTACAATTCTGTTTGCTAATTTCTGGACAACGCTTCACCCTCTGGTCTTTTCGAATGTGCAATTTTGAAACTGAGGCTTAAGGATTGTGTTTCTTCTTCATGTTGTATTGCTTATGTATAGCTTATTTGCACCCTCTTTGTACACACACACACACAAACAAACAAACACGCAACTGGGACTGAAACAAGCAGAGAGAAACAGAACATGGCAGATCAGTAGAAAGAAGATCAATCAACCGTTCCAATTATAACCCTACAAAGACACGCATGCATTGAAACTTAACGACGCTCTATTTATATATTGTCTCCTATCTTGCCAGATTTCTCGTAAACCATGAACTCAGTGCAGAAAATCTGCGCAAAATGTCCGTTTCATCGTTTTCTATTTGCTGCCCTCAATTTCCCTTCTCTTATTGTTGCTACACTGTGGTATAGTGGTTTGCGGAATATCCACTTCCTGTTTTTTTTACTTCACTTGACTTAAAATGGTGTATAATTTCACCTAAAACCCGTGATCTCATGAATTAGTCGTGGTATAATTTTATTCTTCAACGAGCTATTATCAACCTACATTTTACTTGTTCAGTGCTTGTTTAGTTTCTTAAAGGGTTCGGATGAACCAATGCTCTGGTGTGCACGTAAGAAAACGCCGTCAAAGAACATTAATTGCGATAATCAGTGTTATTCGTTGGTCTGAGTCTCACGTAGATGAGATGAACTGAACGACAGATCGGTGTCTGGAGTCATCTGATTTAGTCGAATACAAACAGTGCGATAAAGACGAGACTGATCATTCGATGCATTTTAAACTCAAGCAAACCAGATTAAGCAAACACCATGGGACGCTTTGATTCACTGATCGGGCCGTTTGAAATAGTTGATGTGTGTAGGGTCGTATGCGTTTGACTTGTTTCGCATGAATCGATCGATACACGTTTGTACCGATCGATTTGATGNGTGACTAGTTTCTGCCATGAACTATTAAACACAAGGCAAAAAGTCGCGAAAGTTTCCACCGTGGTAGTTCAACGGGGTTGGTCGTCCTCCTAAATTCTATGTTTGTTCCAATTCAGCCCACAGTCACCTCCAAACTCCGAATGGTTATTTTTTTATAGTCTTCGATTGATCGCTGTCACATTTTTTTTGAAGGTCAGTCACACAACTGACCAGCATCGAATACAACTGATTTAAATACAATTTTTTCACTGTCGTGATAACTGATCGCCATGACTACTTAGGCATGTGAATATCTTTCCCCGTACGACATTCAGTTCTTGGGCCATTGTTTTACACACTTTGAGAGTTAGTTTAAATACTTTGACATAAACAAAACGCATAGGGAGGGCTTCAAATATGAACTCTTCGGAAATTCCGATCCTCGAAGAAAAATTGTCCTAACATCACACGCACAAAGTTTTCACTGAGTAACTAATATTGTAATCCTACCGAATCGTGACGAAGAATTCAACAAAAAACCACAAAACAATGGTTCACCGTTACCACCCGTCATAGAGGCACTTCTATTACGCGCAAAATAATTTAATCAACCTGTTTTAGAAATTAGCTGATTGCAAATACTACCAATCTTTAAAAAATCACCCCGAATTTCGACCATCTCCAATTCAGTCATCCGGATGGCTTCAAGCGGGTCACCTAATCCAGGCTACTACTAGTGTTGTGAGGTACTACTCATATTTGTGAGTAGGATGCAAAATAGTTGGTGATTCCTTTCGACAATTAAAAATTAAGAAGACCACCGAGGGCGAATTGCTGTATCTCAAAGAATAACTACCGACTGCTACATTCATTACCCGGCATGCTGCTAGGAACTGCGATGGTATATTTCCGTTGAGATTTCTGTGTTATGTATGCCAAATTAGTGAAATCTCAACTGTAATCTGTAATAACCAATTATCCTCGACCAGCACCACCTTCTGGAATTATAACACTAGCGATTGTGTAGACACCACGATGTTGTCACTCAAGTCAACCACCCTGTCTCATTAATATGACTGGCCTGTAACATTGAAAAAAAATCTCGGGAAAGAACACGTCTGTGCGGTGATCCTAGCCCACCATTGTTTCTGCGATTCTGTGCTCCATTTGTGACCGTGATCCGTATATATTTAGATTAGCACAGTCTGATCCGATTTTCATTCGTCACAGTTTCTATTGTGCACAGTATGTGTTTTGTATTTACCAATACTGTGTAGAATAACCATGGGTTATAACTAAATATCTGTTTTTTCAGGTGAATGAAAAACACACAAAGCAGTCCCTCATTCCCACCTTCCAGCATACTGAACTCGGTAAGAAAAGGGAAGATATGTCATATACGCACGCTCCATGCAACGGGATGCGATATCTCTATGCAACTCACTCGTTCTTTAATCCGATCAGCGGACTGTGCGATTCGCAGGCGTTGAAGCATGCGAGTCTCTTCTTTCTGGTGAGCTAATTCACGAGCCTGTTCCATTTGTTCCGTCTGCTTTGTTCCTCGATATTGGGCCACGCATTCCTTGAGTTCATCCTTCAAAACCAGAGTGTGTTTTTGGGGTGTGGTGCGGGGGAGGGGAGGGATGATTATCAACAGGATTGGATAACTGGGACAAAAAAAATGGCTCGCGAATATATGCATATATGCAAGGGCACATAAAACACGGAACAGTTGAAATCAAATAATAGCGAAAGTGATAAAAAATAAAGGTTATTCAAGATGGTGATTTTCGTGAACACCGGTCTTATTTGTGATACGTAATGCTTTTGAGGTAACGCGCGCCCCTTGAACGGCTGCGCTACAATTTCTCGCCGCCCCTGGCATTCTGGATTTTATCTACCCAAATTGCTGAATATGCGTGTTTGGCTGAAAGCCTGTGCATATAACACGCTAAAGCTGGAATGCAATACAATACAATTCCTATGAACTTGATCAATGGTGTTATTATGGATATTACTCATGTGGATAATCCTTACCCTTCTGTATATTTGGTATCTATTCGACTACCTGTATGCAGTTCCTATCTGGACGAGAAAACTTTACCGGAAGATGATCCTTTGAGAATCCAGTACCGGGACAAATCCTGTGCGTGGTTACTACAACAATAAAAACAATGATGAGGATGATGACTCGGATACGAAAGCCATTCCAAATCTCTGGTTAGTGACACTGCGCGCATGCTTTTCAAAGGGGTATTTGACATCCAATCAGCAAATCTGCACCACGGATTTGCAAGAATGTAAATAATGAGATGAGATATTACCGGATATATGTACCCGTGGACCGAGGAACATAGCGAAGCCGGTCACATGTTTTCAGGAAAACGTTTTCCAGCCATTCACATAGTACTACAAGATGGGAGGGATTTAATTCTATGCATGATTGCAACCAGTTGCGTTTTTCATTAATCTAACGTTCATAAGCAATACTCTAATGCTTCCAAAGTGTCATCCTTACCATAACTGAATGGAATGATTATTTGCATTTAACTCACAATTACTTGTGAGTAGTGTTATGGTACAATTGTTATTGACTGAATGATAAGAATTGACCATCATTCAGACTTCACGTTCACGTACACTCGGAAGCACTAGACTCGAGTTTCGCTCTGATAAGAACTCATTATTAGTGTATATCCGCCGTCCCGTCCGGGATTTGAACCCCGGACCCGTCGCATGGGAGGCGCGTGCGTTACCACTGTGCCAACCAACCCATTCCAGGGCTGAACCGAAATGCCAATTCATGCTTGTTCAAGAGTGTATGGTTGATTGTAAAAGCTGAGGAATGTGCGTGAATGTGAAGTCTGAAGGTTGGTCAGTTATAATCGTTCAATCAATGAACAGAATGGCTTTATTCTTCCATCAAGTAACATGAAGTTCTCCATATGTGTAACCCCCGGGGCTGATGGTACATTCAAATTGGTGGGTTTTTTTCCATTGCATGTGTTTAAATCAGGTGGCGGTAAGCAAGCTCTTCAAATAGGTCAGAAGTGGCAGTTAGCATTGCACATCTCCCTGATGCATATGAACAGGCAAGTCAGAAGACAAACGCAGACGTGCCTGTTCAAATTCATCACAAGATCTAATTGTTTCAGTCCTGGCGCATGTTACCGTAAAAAATGGCCGCCACAACCAAGTTATTCTTAAAACAACTGAGACTTTCAAACGCAAAGTGATGTTTTGATTGCGTTGAATATTCTCGGTGAGAAAATAAGAAAATCTAACCTGGCTCATGTTAACACTTGCTTTCCGGGTTATGATGATGGGAAAAGTTCTCAAACAGACTGATTCTTACGGTTTCCTGACGAATTTCTTCGTGGACACAACAATTTATAGGTGCTTTAAACTTTTCGGGCAGCGCAAATTCATCGACCCAAGCGAGGAGGATCAAACTCGCTCGCGGTGATGATTGTTTACGAAGATTTGAAAATTAACTACTTATAAGTAGTCATGTAAGTCGCGGCAAATAGTCGATTTCACAATGCCGGTTCATCCAAACTCACGCGTCGTTTCTTTAACTGTTTCAAATTTGCTCGTCGCATTTCCAGTTCCGCTTTGTTTTTTTCCTGTGCAGCTGTTTCAGCCAGCTTCCTTCTTTCCTCACGCCACTGATCCAGTGCCGCCTTCTGCGCTTCTAGCTGTTCCGGAGTCAACGGAACTGTTGGTCTGTGTGTGGATATCGAACGGTTGGAATCCGGGGCTGGAAGTTTCACGCTGAGCTGCCATTAGAAGAGAAAGAAACTAAAATCATGGCTATTGAATGTGATAAAAAAAACCATAAAAGCTTTGCATGTAAACCGCATCAGTTGACCTGTCCTCTCTACGATCAATTCGGAGTGCTATCTCATTTGTCTAGAACGATCCTGAAGGTTCAAATTGCGGTCAACGTCCGACTGATTTCTGACCCACCTGAAAGCTCAGTCTGCAACCGATCAATGTGGCCCAATGGTAACACACAAATCTACTGAGTGAGGAGATCCGTCTTACTTCGACCCTTAAATAGTTAGTTATCCGGTCGGATCAAGTTGCTTCAAAACATTTGAGGGTGCGGTTTGTACTGGATACAAGCCATAGCGTCTAATTTTCAACACGTAATTCCTGATATTCTCTGAATTACATTTTAGGTAACATTTAATATTAAACTGCTATTCTCCAAAAACACTTCACAAAAGTCTGTCACCGAGCGCATTCTAATTAGGCCCTGACCGTGCATTTTTGGCCAAGAAACACCCCGTTCCTCTGTGAATCAAATGAAAGCATATACTCGTCGATTCATATTCGCCAACAATCGTTTGGTGTTATCTTGTGGCATATGTATTCATTCGTGCTTAATAAGAGTCCAAACATCTGTCTGGAGATTTGCATTACCTTCTCCGGGCTAACCCCCCACATGTTCGGTTGGACTTGGCTCAAGGGATTGCGTTCGCGACGAGACCGCATTGTGCGTAAATCTTACGGGACAAAACACGAAAACGCAGCTTGCACTGAATAATCGACTTAGTAATCACACTCACTAACTAATGATGAGATGTGTTGGATCGGGATTTTGAGCTCAACCGGAACCTTGATGATGCATCAGCTCGTTTCGATCCTCCCACCAGATGAATCTCCGGACACGAACTGAACTGGGGTATGCCTCCAAACCAATCTTTGAGAACCATATCGAATCAATAAAAACATTGATTCATCAGTTCCAATGATCAATTTCCACTGCTTGTCCCTATGAACGACCGTGATCATTGACCAAATCGATAATAAATAGTTGAAATATTGAACTGGCCTATTTATTTTTCCACTGTTGATCTTTGAAGAACAACAACGTGCCGAACAAGCTTGTTTTCAGTTATTCCTAATCATGCCAATACATAACGTTAAATATAACTGACAATAAGAATAAATAAGGAATGAGAGATTCGAGTCCTAATGGTTTAGCTTCGGCTCCAATCATGCGTGCATGTTTGCCTGTGTGAAATTGATCACAGTGCCAAAAGTTCACTTGATTGCACACGTGTTGGAGTGGCTGAAGTGTTGTCCAGGGGAGATTAAGTGCTTGCACAGATTTCTTCTGTGAATACGAATACTTACAGCTTCGGTCGTGGCTAAGATTTGATGTTTCACTGCTCTGGAGTGCCTACACCGAACCTTGTTAATTGGTTGAAACGCGTTTGCCACATCCACCGAGTGATTTGACTCAACAAGGTGCGAACACACCTCGCTTGTGATTGTCTTAATTATTCCAGTCCTCAGCCAAGCCGGGTGGTGTTCGCCAATGTGATCGGATAAGCATCCGGTCGTGCGGCCAATGCACCCACAGGAACAAGTGAATGAGTATACACAGAATGAGGCTGTGGAAAAAAATTACTTATGAATCTCGTGACTCGATTTTCCGATTCCGTATCAAACCAGCGCTCATAGTTACCGCTACATTCACTAACACTAC